CTGGCGCTGGCGCTGCTGTTCGTGGGCTGCGAGCTGCCCTACCGTGCCGCCCGGCTGGCGGCCGCGTGGTCGTCCCGACCTGCCGGGGACTGGGAGGGAGGCGGCCTGCCGGCGGCGCTGCGCATCGTGGGGATGGCCAACAGCGCCCTCAATCCCTTGGTCTACCTCTTCTTCCAGGCAGGAGACGGCCGGTTCTGGCGGCGGCTGCGGAGGCGCCTGGGCGCAGTCTGCTGCGCGCGGCCGGGAGTCGCCGGCGACGAAGAGGGGGCCGGGGGCCACCAGGTGCTCCACCGCCACCGCTGGCCCCACCCCCATTATCATCACGCGCGGCGAGAGCAGCTGGATGAGGGCTGCCTGCGCCCACCCCCGCCGCGTCCCAGACCCCTGCCGTGCTCGTGCGAAAGCGTCTTCTAGGTGCTCCGTGGCCCGAGACGGGTCATCTGTGGCCAAGGCGCAGCCTTTGGGGAACAGGAGGCCAGTCCGGGTCTGCCTGGATAACAAGGGGCAGGGCAGGAAGATTTCCGAGACAGTGACACTGGAACTGTCCCCTTCCTCCACTCTTCTATTATATTTCCTTCTGATGTTTACATTTTCTCACACTCTTCCAGCTTCTTGCCTCCATTTCTCGCCCCATTTGGAGAGGAGAGAGTGGAGCCTTTGGGAAGTTGTGAAAACAAAGTTACAGAGTTACTTTGGCAGTGTTGTTTCACCCTTTTATATATAGTGTTCTGGATATGACCATTTATTTTAGCTAAATTACCAAACTTTCATTATTTGTTATCATCTGTGTTTACTTGTTTTGAATCGTGCTTAAATCAAGTGTACCTTCGGGACCAGCGAGTATGTCTTTCTTTCCAGGAGGAAAATCGACACATTGCGCTCCCTGGGGAGGCTGAGAATTGTACCGATAACACTGTCAGAAATGTAATCATGCTGTCACTTCAGAGCCACAGAGTATTGGTAAAATAAAAAACGTCTCCCACAGAGCAATTAGCATTTTTTTAAAACATGGTACTGTGTTTTCTCGGAGGAAAAGCAGTGTGGCCTTTATTTCAAGTCTGGCTTCCTTAATAGAAGCTGGTATTGTAGGAAGATGTAAAAGCTTGCCTTGGCCCCTTTCAAATATGCCTGGTTTCTATAGGAAATCGTGCCTGTGCCCAGACCAGCCTCTAAAGCTACAATGTTTTGCCCAGATGGAGCCTTTCAGTGCAGAGTCCCCAGCAAATCCGAGAAGTGGGTGCCAAGGTGATGTCTGTGGGTGGGGCTCACAGTCCCAGATGGAATCTCAAGGAGATTTGCAGCTGGGAAGGCGGTGGAAACCTCAGAATGCTAAAACTCCCTTCCAAAAAATGAATTCAATGCCTACTGGTGTGGATCGCTGAGAACAAGGTCAAGGAGCAGATTTGATGGGGAACCTCCTCTCCATACTGTTCCTGGTTGTAGAGAGAAGTGGCGGCACTTATGAAAAACATATCTGTGTGTTTATCAGTGACCTTCATCCAAGAATCTGAAGGCATCCATGAGAGCGTTTCTTGTTGGTGCACAAATGCAGGCCTCAGATGCAAAAAGGAGAAATGACTGGTTAAAGCTTATTTGTAGAGCCAATGCTCTCTAAGGGATCTCTGTTTTGTTCGCTGATATAGCCCAACACAAACAATGTTTGACACTAGGCACTCAATACATATTTGTTGAATAATTCATCATATGAGTCAGGTGGGAATAGGAAAGATAAAAGATACACAAAATGAAAGCTTCACTAAGCTTGGCTTGTAAGCAAGAATTCTGCTTTAAAACACTTTTTTATCACCCACCTTTTTTAAAAAAATTTTTTTCTCTTTCTCCTTCCTGTTCCTTCCTCCCCCATCTTTCCTATCCCTTCTTGTACCACAGCCTTGCAAATACATGTATGATTATCTGAGTATATGCTTGCTTAAGAATTCCAGAGGGGGCCGGGCGTGGTGGCTTACGCCTATAATCCAAGCAGGACCCCTCCCCTATTAGGAGGAGTCATAAGACTCCCCGAGATAAAACCAACCAGAAGTCTGGGAGGACCATCACCCAAAATAAGCCATCAGAGCAAGATATCAGACCTGCACCCTGCACCACTCCTGCATGCTTCCTGTATCAAGTTTCCCTTTAAGAACCCGTCTTTAGCTGGGCATGGTAGCGCTCACCTGTAGTTCCAGCTACTTGGAAGGCTGAGGTGGAAGGATCGCTGGAACCCAGCAGGTTGAAACTGGGGTGACCGTGAGCATGCATGCCGATGCACTCCAGCCTGGGAGACAAAGTGAGACTCCAACTCAAAAAACAAACAAAACACACACACACACACACACACACACACACACACACACACACACAAAGAATCCTAACCAGCCTGAAAATTTGAAGTGGTCTTTGCAACTTCAGTCTACCATCTCCTCGGGTTGCTGGCTCTTAAATAAAACCTATTTTTCCTTCCACCAACTCTCATCGCTTGAGTTTGACTTTTGGTCATAGAGTGGTTGGACTTGGGTCCAGTTTCAGGCATACCTTCCTCCAAAATTCTGACAAAAGATCCTGCAGAGTTATAGGTTTTCTTCCTCTCTTTGCTCCTCCCTACCCTGCTAAGTCTGGGTTATAGCATTATTTTTATTTATCAATAAACACATTACCTGCTTACTTTGTGCCAGGTCTAGGCACTGGAAATGCTAAAACAAATGAGACATTTTTCCCTCAAAGACTTACAGTCAAGTATAGGAAATAATCTGACAGTTACACTGCAGTGTCATATGTGTTTTAATAGAGGGGTCCAGTCAGGTTGCTGGAAGCATCTGACAACCTTGGGAGCCTGGGAGTTGGGGAGAATTAGGAGAGGCTCACCAAAAGAAGCTGAGTCTTGAAGTCTGGTCTGGGGGTGACCCTTCAGTTTGGGAAGGGTATTCTAGGCATAGGGAAAAAAAGGAGAAATGCTCATTGAGAAAGCAAGTTCACAACCATTAAACAACAGCAAAAGGGTTACAGAGATTAGTTTTTACAATCTAGGAGGGGTTTTCAGCTGATGGCTAGCTAGAAATTTTGAGAATTCTCTAGCTGGTTTGGAAATACAGAATACCACCTCAAGAAGTCAACTCAAAAACCAATTAAAGTAATTTTTTCCTAGATTTTATGGATGATTTAGTTAAGTTCAATTCATATGGAACTGCTTCTCTTCTATAAGTAAGGAACTTCCTCTGATTTTAACTAAATATGAAACTAGAAGGTAGATCTAGATAGGTTGGTCCCCAGCCCTGGAGGCATCTGGAGACTAAGAAATTTGAAGGAGCCGGGCTCGGTGGCTCAGCCTGTCATCCCGCGCCTTTGGGAGGCTGAGGTGA